ACCAGTCAAAAATAACTTTTTCAGCCCTCTGAGTAGTCCCTGTGCACGAAAGGACTACCCAGAGGGCAGAAAAATGTGATTTCTGACAGGTCCTCGCACTTTTGACCGGTCTTCGCAGTTATCATCATTTATGCCCATTGTACCATTCTTAACAACCGTATCACTCATTTCACAACTGCTTCTCTTCACCATAGTGACAAGATAGGGCAAAAACATAAATTGTGAGGACAGTCGTAAGTTCGAGGACTGGTCAAAAGTGCGAGGACCAGTCAAAAATAACTTTTTCAGCCCTCCATATGCATAAAGGATACAGCAATAGAGAGGGATGAAGGAAGGGAAAGGAAATTAGAGTAGGAGTGAAGGTAAGAGAGGGAGGAAGAGAGGAGGAGAAGGAGAAAGAAAGAGGAAGTAGGGAGAAGAAGAAGAGGGGGGGGAAAGAGAAAGTAAGTAAGAAAGAAAAGACAGAGGTGGTAGGTTTGAGGAGAAAGATTGCTGTATAATAAAAAAGATGAAAGGGAAGAAAGCCAACCCCAAACAAATATTAAGATATTAAGATAAAGAATGAATTGTTAAACTTTAAAGAATAAAAGAGAACAAATAGCAATAAATAGCAATAATTAGAAACACACATACAAACATACAACATATTTTCTTTGAACAGAGTATTTGGCCGGTTCACAAATTTAAACAGTTGTAGGAGGTTAGCACCCACCCCATTCCTAGAAGAATGAAATATTTTGGGAAATATTAAAAAGGCAGAATATTATATTTTCCTGTATGAGAAATGGAGAAGCATATTTTACAGACAAAGCAACTCCCACCTTCCTGCCCCCCACCCTTTGTTAATGGGCCAGAGGCAGAAAGTCAATCCTTTGTCAAAGGACATTTGCAACACAATAGCAACAGAAACTAACACAATGGGCCCCATCAAGCCATGTGATCCTGTCCACCATTAAACCATCTTTGCAAGCAGTCTCCATGTTTCCAGTGTCTTTTTCCCCACTTGGAGCAGAACCCAGAAGGATATTTCTTCCAACACAGTATTTAGTCATTTCAATTAAATTTACAATTTTTATATTTCCTTTTTACCATATTTATTCCTCATCTATTTTTTTAAAAAACCAATATTACCCTTCATCCTCATCTCTAATCTTAATCAAATTCAATTTTTCCCTTCCCATTGTCATCTATTTTTATATCCATCCTCACATTGGTTAATTATGTAATACAGTTGTTTAATACAAATTCAACATTTTAATATAAATCAGTTAGTTATATAACTACCTTTTTTGTATATTAATCAATATGAACATGAATATTCCAATTATTTCCATGCAATCCAATTTCTTACAAATCAATTAATATTTACCAATAATAATAAACCAAATAATTTCCCCCATATATTCCTCCAAACCACAACTTAACCATTTCTGCTTTCAACACAATATGCAATTAATAGTATCTCAATTATTACAATTCCCTAGTTAAATAGAGCTTTTTTTCTTCTGTGTTTTAAAATCTTGAACCTCCTCTTGCCCTAAATTTCCCATTGTTTGCAGTTTGCACCTACCTTTTTTGGTGAGGAAAAAGAAAAAGAAATCTTTCTGCCTCATTTTGTCATGTTGCAGCCAAGACCCTGCTTACTTTCAATTTCGCTTTTTCAGCATAGCTTGGGGGAAAAAAATCTGCTCCAGGAATTTACCTCTTTGCAGCTAGCTAGCAACAGAGCCCTCCGCAAAACAGCTGAGAGTAGGGTGGCTCTTTGAAGCCCCGCGGCAAGAATTTAAAGTTTTTTTCCCCTCTAGCCATCAGCTGGGACTCCGGAGCCAACAATAGATTGGGAGTGGGCGGGGTAAGCGAATGGCGACCGGGCGAACCAGCAGAGGCAGAGGGTGAGGGTGAGTGAAGGCGTGGGGGGGGCGAGAGAGGGCTTTGGCGACCCCTGTGAAATGGCCGTTCAACACCCAAAGGGGTCGCGACCCCCAGGTTGAGAACCGCTGCTTTAACCCATTCTTATCCTGCCCTCTTATGCTTTGGAGAATAAGTCAATCCCCTCTTCTCTGCGATAGCCCTTCAAGTACTGGAAGACAGCTATCATGTCTCCCCTAATCTTCTTCAATAGGCCAGACCAGTGATGGTGAACCTTTTCGGCATCGAGTGCCAAAAAGGGAGCATGTGTGCGCATGCAGCACCAAGTGCCAAAAAGGGAGCATTTTGCATGCTCGTCAGGGCTGTGACCAGAAAGAGGAGCTGCCCAGGGGGCATGTGCGCACTGGATAAGGTACTTCCAGTTTACGGAAGCAAGTCTTCCGGTTTCTGCAGCACATGCCCATGCACCAATCAACTGCCTGGTGCACATTTTCACGCCGGAAAACAGAAGACCAGCTTTTTTTGGTTTCCGACACTGCCGGATGTACCAGGCGACATGGCTTCGCGTGTCACTTCGGGCATGCATGCCATAGGTTTGCCATCATGGGGCTAGACATAGCTAGCTCCCTCAACTGTTTCTCATACAATTTAGTCTCCAGACTCTTTATCATCTTTGTTGCTTTTCTCTGTGCACTTTCTAGGGTCTCAGCATCCTTTCTGTATCATGTGACCAGAACAAGTGTGGTATAAAGCCACATTGTCACTTCCCATGATCTCTTGATATTGAGATCAATATCTGTTGATGCAGCCCATGGCTGCATTGACTTTTTGTCAGCTGCAGCACATTGCTGGCTCACATTTCAATGGTTGCCCACTAGGAAACTTAAATCTCTCTCACAGTTACTGCTATTGAGCCAGAGTCTATCTATTTTGTACCTATGCATTTGGTTTTTCCTGCCTAAGTGCAGGATCTTACTTTTCTCACCATTGAACTGCATCTTGTTGGATAAGGCCCAATACTCAAGTCTGTCAAGACCCTTCTTCCAAAATGTTAGCAGTTCCTGCCTGTTGGCATCTTCTGCAATTTAATGAGTTCCCCTTTTATCCCCTTATCTGGATCATTTATGAAGACGTTGAAGACCACTGGGCCCAAGACAGAACCTTGAGGTACCCCACTGAAAGCTTCCATCCATGTATATATAGTTTCATTAAGAACTACATGCTGGGTGTGGTTAGTCAGCCAATTGCAAATCCATCTCGTGGTGGTACTGTCTATCCCACATTCTTCTATCTTATCAAGAAGTAGGTTGTGGTCTAATTTGTCAAATGCCTTATTGAAGTCAATTTGACAGTTACAAAGTTTAGTCTAAGATTTTTTTTATAATGCAGTAGGGACTCAAAATACATTTTCACATTAGCATGGGAAATTTCAGTGGAATATGTAAAGAAATAGATTCACCAAAGTCCAGTGGATAGATGTACACTAATATTTACAACGGACAGTGGGGGGGTTTGTATTGTGTTTTGAATAGGGTTACCAGATTTGAGCTGTGAACATCCAGGTAACTACAAAATAGCAACTACAAAGGGAGATCTTTAACTACAAGGGTTGTCTTGAGTTTTGCAACCCAAATTTGATGGCCCAAATATTTAAGCCTTTGCTCTTAGGATTCCTAACATATCTTTGGTAAAAGTAGAAGGGAGAATAATTTTTCCACTAATAACTTGCATAGTTATGTGTACATACTCAATTTTCTCTTTTCACTTCTTTCCATAGGGAACCAGCATTTTAATAATACTGATTTATTGTGTAACACACCATTACACAACCTTATATTCTGGTATGTATTATTTGATATTGACAACAAATAGAACAGGACAATGCAAATCAGTTTGAAAAGCAATGCCATTTTACATATCTCTATTTCAACTTCCTCAAAATTATACTAAAGAGTATTACTCTCAATTAGTTTCTTAAAAGTTTACAAGGAAGAGTATTGAAAGTATTTCAGCCCAGCAGCATAATTTATTTTAAAAAATCAATTTTTTATACACACAGGCTCTGGTATGTCAAAGACCCTTTTTTCCCTTGAGCTGATCCGTATGTCATGTTTTCATTTGCTCTCAGTAAAAGTACCTTCATTCCATTGAAAGGCAAATTCATTCCATTGAAACAGATAGGAAAAGACAGGTAGTTAAAAATGAAATTAAAAACCCACTCTCTGAGGCTGCTAGAGATCCAGGTAGCCTTGCATCTGATGCCATTCTTATAATTTGATTCATGCAGCCTCAAAGCAAATGGGCTTACCGCCACTCACCTGTGCAGCTTTCACAGGCTATAAGTTCATACGATTTCATACCCCCCCCCCGTTATTTATGGAAATATTGTCCCCCTGTTATCTTTTGGAAATCCTGTCCAAAAACGAACTATATATTAAATACAGCAGTAGCAGCAGCAGCAGCAGCCAATTTGAAACGAGAAGCTACATTTTACATCAAGCGGGTGGAGGCGCTGCGAGCTCAGAATTGGAAGCCAAAACCAGGCGAGAAAGGAGAACACGTACTGAAAAGGGAAAGGAAAGGGAAAAAAAAGCGAAGAATTACGGGCGAAGCCGCCTCTTGTTTTTCCATCGCTTCTGGACAACTCTTCTAGGAATCCCGCCGGGGCATTTTTTAATTTAATTTTATTCTTCCTCTCCAGCTAATTAAAAGCGAAGTGAGTGCAAGACACTTTCATTCCATACCTACAAGCATTGCTTTTGCAAGCCTAAAAGAGTTCAAAAAGGATACGAGACGGATTTCGGTGGTGTTGGTGGCGTCAAGCCCTGCTCCTCCTCCTCCTCTAATTGTCCTTTTCCAAGGCCAGTTGGGAGCGCAGGTTTAATGCTCTTCCAGCAATAAGGAGCAAGGGAATGGGGGCGTGATAAAAACAGCACCAAGGGTCACAGTCTCACGATGATCCCCGGCTTTGTCTGTTCTGCGACCGGCAGTGCCATCGCAGCTTCGAGAAGCCGGCAACTCTCACACACGTCAGTGGCCCCCTCTCATCCCACTTCCTGCCGCCCCTCCCCACCGAAAGAAGCTCCTGTTGCTGGTGCCATTTGCGCCCTGCATTGCGCCCCCCCCCCCCATTGTGCCTCATTCGTTCGCTGTAACGCATTCACCGTGCTTAATGCATTAGGCGGTGTTGCCTTCCTTCCTCAACCCACCGCGTCTATAGTTTGAAAAAGTTCTGGGAAATCCGGACTTCTCAGAACTAGTAGTAGTAGTGAGTAGTGAGTAGTTCTGCTTTAAAGCAGAAAATGACAGCGGAACACACCAGCCAATCATGGCAGGGATGATCGAGACGGTCTCTTTTTTTCTCCTCTGTAATGAAGGAAATGAAAGAGATAATTTCGGTTAATGGCAAAGCCGGAATTGGGTGGTTTACAATTTTAATCTGCGAATCAAGCTGTAGAAACTTTCTCCGCTTTTTGCTCTTCAGGAACCAACTGCGCCCCTCTCCCACCACACCAAACTTCATCAGTCAAGGAAATATGTACCTGAAAGTCTATGGACATTCTCAGTCAACCAAGAAGCTTCTTCAGTAATCTTGGATGAGAAGCGAAACGTCTTCAAAGAAAAACCAGGAAGTCCAGTTGCCTATTGAAAAAAAAACAAACCTTTGGGATATGTACCTGAAACCGATGACTTTTCTTGATCCAAAAATAAAAGCTATACATGAATAAAGTGTGAATAATATATCTGTAGTGTTTCTCAAGCTTGACAATTTTAAAATGTGGGGACTTCAACTCCCAGCAATGATGGCTGGGGGATGCTGGGAGTTGAAATCCTCAAAGTTGCCAAAGTTGGGAAATATTGGTGCGGAGGTGGGGTTGTAGAGTTGTACAACAGTCATAATTTCCTCTCCCTTTTCCTTCTTTGCTTCTGCAAGGGAGATTTATCAAGGCAAGGTGAGAAGGAGCCACCAGCCAGTATAGTCCATATCTGGATAATTTCCTCTGAAAGTTTCCATTTCTGGGGCGTGTCAAAAATGCCCAAATGCTGCATCTCTTTGGGTTTCCTCACCCATTTGCTGGGCAGCTAGAAGAGAAGATTGGCTTACTATGCTGTTCAAAGACAGTTGGAGTTTTCACTTCTCTGCAGGGGAACAGGCATCTTTGGTCATTTGCGTTATTCCCACAAGTTGCTTAGAGATTTGGGATAGGCATAAACCTCTAGTCCTTTGTAACATTGTAGAACCAATCTTAGCAATCTTTCAGACTTCAATTCCCAGAATTCTCTAGCCAGCACAGGGAATTCTGGGAACTGAAGTCCACAAGCATTAAACTTGCCAAGGTTGGACACCCCCATTGTAGAGGGTTTTTCCTCACCACCAATTTCTAGCATCTTCTTGTGTTAGCCAACTTTTCCTGTTCTGATAAATTTATAATTGTCTTTCAATTGCTTGCCACAATAAAGGCCAGGTCACACTACTACACACTACAAAGAGAGAAAATGGCCACAAAGAAGAGACCAGAGAATAGCCTTGAGGTATCTAACCAATAGGTTTCCATTGTAGTTTATTGAAGTTGGGCAGCTAATCAATTCAAACAAAGGTCTGTTGCCCAAACAGAGGGAGGGAGGCATCTCTTACACAGCAGCAGTCTCTGTTGGCAAATCTGAGTTGAATGACCCAAGATTTGGGTACCTGGATATAATCCTCGTGATTTTATGAGTTTCACAAATGATTGCTGGATTAGAACATTGTTGGTGCCACAGAGAAAGTAAGTTGATGGGTGTTTTCTCGTGAGCAGTTAATGTACACCTAGCCCTCCCTGTATGAATAAAAGGGAAGAGCTACCATAAATCGTGCTACTATCTTCTGTTCACCTGTCCTGTGAAGTAAAGACCTTATGAAAGGGCTGCTAATGTTTTTAGACCCCTCACCAGTGCCATGCTTTTCAAATATATCTTGTTGCCATGGTTTGTCACAAGACGTACATGGGGGGGGGGAGCAGGGAACAAGATAAACCATCATTCAGGGAGGGGTTGGCAGAGGATTCCAGAAGGAAAAGATTACACGGGGAAAGCGCTAGCATCTGTGCGGAGGCTGCTCCTCATCTTCTGATGTTAGGGTGTGTGCAATCCAACTTGTTTAATGAAGCATGAACGAGCAATTGAAGGTGAGGAAGAGACGAGATAGGCACAGCTGCTGCTGCTTTTTGTTGAATGCGCGCTTCCTTATTCCTGGTGCTCCAAAAGGGCACTTTTCGGGGGGCTAAAGAGATCCCGGAATTCCTGGCCTTGGAGCGGGACAGGCTGTTGCTCGAGAGAAGAAGCCCTCTCCAATCCTTTTTTCTAGCCGGCGGTAATCCCGTGGAAAGGAGAGGCTGCTATTGGCTGCGGGTTTACTATTTGCTCTGCGCTCTCCTCTCCAAATAACGGTGGCACTTTCAGAGGCACCTTTTTTCCCCCCCCCAAATACGCCGCCTCCCTTTCTTGGCTCCGCGGCCCGCATTACCGCGCGCGAGGTCTCTGGAGGATGTGAGGCGAAAGGTGCAAATTCCAGCCTTACGAGGGGGGAGAAAAAAAAAAAGGCGGGAGCCGGGAAACTTGATTTTCCGGCCTTTCCTAGCTATATACGGCGAAGGGTTTCTCTGCACCCCTCAAGACATGAGGGGAGGCGAGGGACGCGGCTTGGGAAATAAAGGTCGGGGGATGACATGGTGGCTGGTCGGATGAGGTCTGGACTTCTTCGCTTTTCGCACAGACCAGCGGGAGAGCGCAGTCAGCAGCGAGCGAGCGAGCGTCTGCTCCCGCCCCACGTGAATACGAGGTTGGATTAAAATGTAGGCGCGCAAGCACACGGAGCACACAGCGCTGCGTTGAGGGAGCAACCGCGGGCGAGGAGAGCTGGAAAAGAACCGCCTAGCAAGCCGGAGAGAAGCCTCCAGAGACGGCAGGGGGCCGGGAACGGTTGCCGAGACAGGCGGTCGCCAGTTTACAGTTGGCCATGGGACCGGGCGGGAAGCTCGGGGTGGGTGGGGGCAAGGGACGGAGGCCGTAGTCCCCTTCTGAGAGCCGGGGACGCCCATGACTGAGGAAGCTCGCAGAGGGACTCGCCGCAAGGTGTGCTTAGCGCCGCCCGAGACGCGAGGCTCCCATCGCGCCGGGACTGAATCGTCTTCATTCTCGTGCAAGGGAGGCTGATTTTCGCCGAACGCCAGTTTCGGCGTTTCTCTCAGCCGATGCCTATATCACGTCCGGATTTGGCTGCCGGGCTTTGCCTTTTCCGCCGGCGGGGCTGCGGGGGTTTTGCAAAAGTTGCCTTTCGCACCTCCTCCTCCTCCTCCTCCGGCCTCCCGGGCTGCTTTCCACCATGTGCGCCAACGTCGTTTACGAATGGTTGAAGACCCTGAAACTCACCCAGTACGCCGAGGCTTTCGTGGATAATGGCTATGACGACCTGGAGGTGTGCAAGCAAATCGGGGAGCCGGACCTGGATGCCATCGGGGTGTCGCTGCCCCAGCACAGGCGGCGTCTCCACGAAGCCGTGCGGAGGCTGAAGGAGGAAGACGAGACCACCGCCGGCCTCTACTTCACCTTGGAGCCGCAGCCCCTTCGGCGGGGCTCGCCGGCACCCGACATCTACACCAGCCGCCTGGTGGAGCCGCGCGAAGCCAAGACGTGGAAGGACCCACCTCGTCAGACGCCCCCGCCGGGTCACTCTCGGGGGCCGCCGCGGAAAATGGAACTCAACTCCCAGGAGTTGATCACTTACCCCAAACTCAGACTGAAAATCATGATTAGGGATAAACTCATCCGCGATGGGATCACTCTCAGCAAGCCCCCTTATTCCAGCAAGGTAAGGTAGCCGTGCCTTAAAAATCCTGTTGGCGTTGCTGGTTTTTCTCGCCGTCGTTGCTACTGTTGTTGCCTTAACTCTCCTGGTTGGATGGAGAACGCACTGCAAAGAGTGAACTTTTTTCCGCTTTTCTCGCCAACTTGAGTTGATTTGCTCTTAGGTTTGTTTGTAGGTAGGCAGCGGGGTTTGTTTTGGTGTCTTGGAGAAGTCGTTTTCTCCTGTGTGGCGTTGAAAGAGTGATTGTGGATTCCGGTTTCAGCACAATCCCATTTCTGATGTGAAAATAGTTAAGCCTGATGAATACAGGTGTGGACATAGTAAGTCTCATAATGGCTCAGTGAAGCTTCATTGCCTTGCACTTCCCTTGGAATATTTGTGGAAGAAGATGGCAATATGATGAAGCCAGTAGTGTTTCTTAGTACTTCAGTTTGATTCTTGAGGGTGGAAAGTGTGTTTTATAGCAGAGTTATCTGAATTGCAATAGCTAAGGTGGAAATGTTTATTTATTTGTTGAGGTGTGTCAAAATACCTGGCACAATCCACAAAGACATATTGAATTAGGAGAAAAAAGTTAAATAATGCATGTTTCTTTATAGTTACTCTTAAACTGGGAGCTTGCATCCAGTTTCTGTACATGCTTATTCACAAGTAAGTGGCACCTCAATGAAAGTGATTGCCCAGAAAGCACAGGTATCACTCAAGTTTGTTCTTTTATGGACAAAACACCTGTGTTAAGTGATCTAAAAGAGGCAGTGTATCTACTGACAATCAGTGTCAAGCTCTGAAGATTTTTAAGGAAAGTGTCAAGTATCTGCAAGTCTTTTTACCGAATTCAATAATTGGCTTGATTTCTTAGACGTTTTTAAAATCATGCTTTTGTACAAGAAGCAGACAATTTACAGAATGTTTAATAAACTCAATAGCACCACATGAGAACTTCAAGTTAATTTATTTTCACTGCAGAATTGGTTTGTGTGAGTGACAGGTAAAATCATTATCACAATCTTGTATATCTAATATAAATCTATAATTTTATAAGCTTCTCACAGATGGGCATTGCGCTCACAAAACATATATTTCACAGATGTCATGGATAATGGATATGACTAGCTAGCATACAGGAAAAAAACAGTTCTAAATGCAAATAAATGAATGAATGGAAGTGAAAATCTGAAGGAAGAAACATAATGTCACTCTGTCAAAAGAGGTATGCTGTGCTATAAACTGATATGAAATGAAATGGTGTTAAGGAAGAGCTGTGTTAGTTGTGAAATGTATGTCAGAATAATTCAGAAATAATTGTAAAAAATATGCACAGGCACACATATACAGAATTCAGCCATGCGATCTAAAGGAATATAGTATGATTACAACTGAGAATATTGTATACTACTACATTAAAATGAATAAAATCTTTCCTTTTCCCCCAGTTTTAGGCAGATCATAGCACCTCTCTGACAAGCCAGAGAGTAATAACAACCCATATTCAGGGTACCAGATGTCTAATATGAATTGACAAATAATGGTGTGTAAACTCTCGTATCCACTGTAAATGAATCATTTTCTGAAGCAATTTGCCCATGGTTGTTAGTCATAGAACTTTTTTATGGATTATAGAAAAGCTGTTCCTCTACTGATAATTTAGTCTGAAATTATTTTGAGAGGCACAAACATAAAACATAAGCCTTGGTAATATTTTCTAATGGGACAACATAAACATGTTTTCCATTTTGATTTTTACAATGAATATTTCTTACATTGATTTCTTTTTGTGGGGAAAAATATCAGGTATATGAAAAATATTAGAAAATCAAGTATTGTTGCTTACATTTCTTTAAAGTATCTTATATTTTCCTATGGAGAATAATTAAAAATTAGATGCTCTGTCCCCAACTTTGGCAAGGAGTTATTATAATGCTGGTTCTGATGAACAATATAAAGAATAATTGGCTTATATCTAACACAACATTTCAGGCTACTGAACTTAAAATAGCTAAATATCCTTAGTTATTTCATTAAGTTCCATAGTGTTTCTCATTTCTGTATTTAATATTTCTAATAATTTAAAAAACATTCATTTATCACTTCCTTTTGTAGTCAACTATTTTTTATTTAATTTTTATCTTGTTTTTATTACTTTATAAATCTCAAATATTCCTAATACTTCTTTCACCTTTAATGAAAACTATTCCAGAATTGGTAAGAATATAAAATCATCAATGAAAAACATTTTAAAAAGTGATAGAAGAAAACACTCATATTACAAATTTGAGTGTAATAGTTACAGTGGGCCATTAATTAGTCAGCATGTCAGCAAAGAATCTTAACCATTAAGCGCTGAATTAAAATTAAGTTAGTGCTTGGCATACACTGTTTCAGATGCCAACACACATTGGTACTATCTCAAATCACTACCAGATGTTCCAACCAGCATTAGGACAAGTTGGGACTTCCACTCCCCAGTTCTGCCACCAGGTATATAACAGCACAGGCAGGTCAGATTTCCATGTCCTAAGGCTGAAATGACTTACATGAGAAATAGCTGTTGTATAAATGTGGAACTGATATTGATCTTCAGAGCTTGGCTAGGAATCCATTGATTTGAAAAGACATGAGAAAAATGGCTGAGGACTTAAATCCCTAGGTCTGTCTCAGCCCCCCCCCCAAACACACACAGAGTGTACGAGATTGTTGAATATATAGAATATGTTTGGAAAGGAGTTTCAACTTGGCACGCATTGGACACAGACTGATTTTGTGACTGTAATCAAAATCATTATTCCTGATGCTCCGATTCCAGTGACATGCCTACATTGCAAGCAGAGTTGGCTTATTTAAAATAATTTTCTAATGACAATTTAGAATAGGATTTGATCTATCCTTTTTCTTGCTCTATGAGTTCCCCTATTTGTTCTTGTTAAGAAAAAGGATGCTGTCTTACAAGATCCTGACCTCCGTAACTATTGGAGATCATTATCCTTTCCCCATCATATTTGAAATCTTAGAATGGATGTCAGATTGGTCATTCTGGGTCGATAGTTCATGCCAGAAAAGGACATGGGGAATGTGACATTTAAGGTGCATCCATATATCTGCTTTGCTATGTTTTACTTCCATCCCGGAGCTGTCAATATAAAACACAAGATGCTAACAAGGTAGTGATTGCCTATATTTCCCATGTTGAAATTTGAGTGTCACCAACCATGCAAAAAATTACTCCTAATTGGTGCATAGTATGTGTGCTGCAGTGGTGGGTTTTTACCGGTTCGCCCCGGTTCGGGCGAATCAGTAGTACCAGTGGCGGGAGGCTTCACCCATACGCCCGGGTGTCATCAAATATGCTCTGTGCATGCGAGCAAACTGGTAGCAAAGGTAAGTGAAACCCACCACTGGTGTGCTGGTGTAGTTTTTGGAAGCTCCAAGCGCCTATCCCCAAACCATTTTCTTCTGTTCTTTTCCAAGGGACTATTGACCTATCAAGCTAAAGATCACTAAATGGAAGCAAAGAGTTTGCTTCTCTTGACTGCAGTGCAGTAGTTATCTGGATTTGTGAAGCTCAAATGCAACTGCTGCATAAGTACAGATAGTACTTGACTTATGACCACAGTTGAGCCCAAAATTTATGTTGTTAAGTGAGACATTCGTTAAGTAAGTTTTCCCCATTTTAAGACTTTTCTTGCCACAGTTATTAGGTGAATCACTGCAGTTGATAAGTTAGTAACCTGGTGATTAAGTGGCTTCCCCATTGACTTTGCTTGACAGAAGGTTGCCAAAGGTGATCACATGATCCCAGGACACAGCAAAGGTCATAAATATGAACCAGTTGCCAAGCATCTGAATTTTGATCACATGATCATGGGGACGGATGCTGCAAAAGTTGTAACTATGAAAAACGGTCATAAGTCACATTTTTCAGTTCCGTTGTACCTTTAAACAGTCACTAAACAAACTGTTGTAAGTCGAGGACTACCTGTATTCTTGGACCCAGGGTTCAAGAGCATAGTTTTATGTATAGCAATATCATCTGTGTGGTGCTCTCTGGTACATCCATGTAATTTTTCTAAACTATTCTTATTGACCTTTCAGTTAGTTGAACTAATGGCCATGAGGTGGCAGGAAAGAGGTTTTTTTTGTTTGTTTCTCAGCTGCCATCTAGTAGTCATGTAGAGATGTGCAGCTGGGAAGCAGCTGCAGGATAAGCATTGAAGGCTGGAGAAATCATCCCTTTACAAATTTTTGTATTAAATCACAGCCTGCATATGTCTCTGGTCATCCAAAAGTGTGGGAGGGGAAAATGAGTCTATATGGTGAAGCCATATCTATTCTAAGTTACCTTTTAAAATAAAACAATCTTTTATAAAGAACATTCAATAGAAAGGAGTTAGGAATCAAAGCTTCATGGAGAAGAGTGACTACAGTGAAGGGAATTCCTCCTTACCAATCAGGCAATAGGTGCATAAGAACCAAGTTCTTTTAATTACACATACAATTATATGCATTAAAATGAGGAGGAGTTGTTCAGTTTTGGGGCTTTGCACTCTCTAGGGAAGGTAGTTAACCAATTAAAATTAAATTTTAAAACAAGCAAGTAAGGGGCTCTTGACAAACAGGATTATGGTTTCACCTGCAGAGAAAATCATATTTGTTTTGTTTCAGTTTGCACTGGTTGAATTTATAGAATAGAATATACGTACATAAAACAATACTGTGAGGATTAAGTGT